GGTACGAGTAGAGTAGAGTAGAGTAGAGTGTAGTGCGAGCGCGAGCGGGAGTGAGAGAGGGCGTGGGGGGGGGGGCGAGCGGGGTGTAGTAAACATTGTTGTTATTTAACAGGAAGGTCGACAAGCCCGAACATCGCAAAGGACTTGAGAGCGCAAGAACAAACACAAGACAGAAAGATACAAGACAGAAGGAACTTTTGATAATTCCCTTGCTGAAAGTGTTGTGTCGACGAGAGAGTAAGCAGCAACTGCATATTATGGCGAACATGCGCGAAGTAGAGGATATATCGGAGATGTACAACAAGAAGCTTTCTATTGGCCAGGACGATGCTGTGCATGCTGGCATGGAGCCCATGAACACAAACAACAAACATGCTCATTCAGAGGATGTAAATTCGCGCTCTGGCGACAAAGCTGCTGCAAGGGGCTATCGCGCCAGCAGAAGCTGCGCTGCCTGCAAGAGGCGCCTAGGAGGTCCGAAATGGATGATTCAGAATCTTTTTTCCATCTTGAAAGGGGAGAATACCTCGAGGAGGGTGAACATCGCCAAGTTGCTGCCAAGCCATCTTGTGGAGAAGCGAGGACGGCTGGTCATCGAGTCAGCCGAGCCTTTCTTCATCATCAGCATCGACGGACTGGCGTCTGCGCTCTTGAACAGAACGTCCTCTGGCATCACAGGACGCATGCTCAGAACGATCGAATGGGAGGGTGATGGACGCAAGATTCTGCATGAAGCTGCTATCATGGCTCAGCGGACCGCAGACAAGGTGCTCCTCACACTACCCCGGCCAGGGAAGCAGGAATCGCTCATTGTTGTCCTTCAAAAGATTACCGAGGGCGATCAGAATCGTTTGGAGGTGCTGATGTTTCCGACGGACTGTGAGCTGCCAAGTTTTGGCCCAGTCCAGGAGAGGGCATCCAAGATTGAGAGCCCAGATACCGAACTTTGCATTTCGGATGAGGAGATGATCGATTCGCAGAGCTGCGATGAAGAGGACTTTGGATATGAGACAGAACTGACTCAAGAGGCTGCGCAGTCGTGTAAAGTATGTAAATCCAGATGATCTTTTGCTAGTTTTAGGTTTTTCCCTCGCCTCGATTCACAATAAACTACTCACATTCTCAATCACTCGAAACCATGTTTGTTACAAAACACAAATCCTCTTTCGTTCTCCCAATAGCTCGCAGCTATCACTTCGATGATTCGAGCAACTTTTCGATCTCTGCCATCGTGACTGCATCGATTTTCCGCTTCCCCAGGTCTAACCTCCGTTGGTGCCTTCGTTGCCCGGGCATTCCAAAACTCTCCATCTCCTCAAGGTGCTTCAGAAATCTTTCCGCGGCCTCCGCACTCTCCTTGGATCCTGAGATGATATCCAACGACATGGCAACAATCAGCTCGCCTCCGAGGGGAGGACCTCCGTCCTGGTTGTCTTCCCTGGCCGTCTCGTAGCTCGTGGTCTCCCCGATCAGAGGCCCTGCCAGGAGCTCCACTGCCATGGCGAGGTGCGATCCCTTGTATCCTCCGAAGGGGAGGAGGCAACCCTTGAGAATCTCCGACGGATCCTTGCTCACCTTTCCCTCCCCATCCAACCCCGTCCCTTCTGGCACCTCCTCCCCCATGCGCGCTTTCAAGGACAAGTCGCCGAGGGAGGAGGATGAAGTCGCCATGTCGAACACCAGAGGAGGCCGGAGGGGTCGAGGCCACGCGAAAGAGACAGGGTTCGTCCCGAAGAACGCATGGCGAGTGCCATGGGGCGCGACGGTCGGCAGGTAGGACGTGCACGCAAAGGCTACCAGCCCCGCATCCGCAATGGCCTCCGTTTCCGGCCATAGCGCCGCCCAATGCGCGATCCTCCGGGCGGCGAAGATGCAAACCCCGTGCTGGCGAGCTACCTGGATGACTTGCTCGAGGTATCGACGGTGAACGAGAGAGACGAAGGAGCGATCTCCCTCACACCTCATCACCGTATCGTTGACTCGGGTCAGCGACGGGTCCGCATCTCCGCGGACTTTTCCGCTTCGGAGGGACCTGATGTATCCTGGAACTCGGTACATCCCATGGGAACTGGCTCCGTCCCTCTCAGCATTCCTGACGCAGTCAGCAACACTGTCCGCATGCTCCGGGCTGGCGCCTTCCCGGATCAAGACGGAGCGAGTGAGATTGTGGATCTCGCTCAAGCTCATCTCGACGTGTCGCTCTGAAGAAATGCTCCTCATCTGCTGTTGAGAGAGTGAAGTGCGAGGATAGGTATGCATCAGTCGAAGACGAGGGGCTGAAGATACATCAATGCGCTGTACCAGTGATGCTAGTCTCCATCCCTTGAGCATCACGTACAAAACGATGCCTCAGCTGAGCTCCTATCCACCTCTATGCACTCCTCTCCTCTCCTCTCCTCTCCTCTCCTCTCCTCTCCTCTCCTCTCCACTCCACTCCACTCCTCTCCTCTCCTCTCCTCTCCTCTCCTCTGCTCTCCTCTCCTCTCCTCTCTTCTCCTCTCCACTCCTCTCTTCTCCTCTCCTCTCCTCTCCTCTCTTCCCTCCTCTCTACCTCTCTTCACTCCTTTTCGTATCTCATCTCCTACACGCACGCTTGGTCTCCTCCATAGGATTTCCCACGATACGGCCACACCCCTGTACCCCAGGTGGGGTGGGGTTATATTGCACAGTACCCCCTTAATCAAGTCTCAAAGTGAGATAATAGAGGGGTACATGTCGTCTAGCGAGGGGTAGGGGTAGTCCTTCCTCCACTTGGCTGACAATCTGTCGGGAGGTGGGGAGGAAAGAATAGAAGCAGGAGGAAGAGGAGCAGGGAGAGAAGGAGGAGCAGCAGCAGCAGCAGGAGGAGGAGGAGCAGCAGCAGCAGGAGCAGGAACATCAGCAGGAGGAGCAGGAGCAGGAGAAGGAGAAGGTAGGGGAGCAGGAGGATCAGGAGCAGGAGCAGGAGCAAGAGGAGCAGGAGAAGGTAGGGGATCAGGAGGATCAGGAGGAGGAGAGTGAAGGAGGAGCAACCTAACTGACTGGATGCACGATAGCAACGAGAAGGAGCTCTTGGGTTCTGCAGGGCAAGTGTGACTTGGATCTTCAAGTAGGAGGCAGGGAACAGCGCTAGCACGAACATCAGGAGGAGAACTGAACGACGATCCGGCTGTTTCTTATCTCAACCAGCATCAGGTCCTTGCTGCTGCTCGCTCTGCTCTTCGCGCTCGGGGTCGAGGCGACGAAGGCTGGCATTGGAGGGCTGACGCCTACAGTTGTTCCCACCATGGACCTGGAAGCATGGACGCAGAAGCAGCTCGAGCTGGTGGACATGGAGCGCATGGCAGAGGAGGCGCAGACCGCAGACGAGCAGGAGACTCTGAGCCTGAAGCAGCTGGAGGAGAGGGGGGTGGTGATCGGTTCCCTGGTCCTGACGGAACGGAAGCATGGCCTGGGAGGGCGGACCCTGGTCACCCTGTGCCGCAGCAAGGCGCTAGGAGGGAAGAAGAACGATAAGGGCAAGACAGAGAGCAGCGGCTCGGAGCCGCTCCTTCCTGCTCACTGCTTCGGAGGAGGGGATATCGTCGCCCTGCGCAAGGCGAACGTGGCGCACGTGCCTTCCTCGTCCTCCAAGGAGCAGGAGCTGCGCGGGCTGGTCTATCGCGTGATGGAGAATAAGATCGTCGTCGCCCTAGACTCCGGTGATACCATGATCCCTATGAAAGAGCAGCAGCAGCAGCAGCAGCAGCAGCAGCAGCAGCAGGAGAAGGATAATGATGATGAATCGGTTAGAAGAAGTAGGGAGGTTGAGGGAAGCGAAAAGCAAGTAGCGTGAAGAAGGAGCAGGAACTCAGCAGGAGCAGGAGCAGGATCGGGAGGAAGAGGATAGAGAAGGAGGGAGGGAAAGTGAGGGAGAGGGAGGAAGAGGATAGAGAAGGAGGGAGGGAAAGTGAGGGAGAGAGAGGGAGAGGGAGAGAGGGAGGGAGAGGCCGATGCTCCAGCGGGGGCTCTGCCCGCCTGCAACCTCAGCGCTAGGACAACTGCGTCCCTCGCTGGCAAGCTCCCGCCCCGGCCTATGCTTGTCGGCACCACTCCTACAAACTATTCAACCGCTCAGCCCGACGGGCGCGTGTCTGCTTCTCGGCTACGCTGATCACCGCATCGTGTCCCGCATTCCCACTTCTCACCCATGAAATTTTCCACGCCGGCTTTGCCTTGGTCTGCTCGCCCTGTCGGTGCTGGCCTCATTCG